GGACGTCCTGAAGACTTCTTCACTGCAGTCGAACCTCTCTCCTTGAAGTTCTTGATGATCCGGTAAATGATTCTTTCAGGTGCAATATTCTTTTTAGCAATTTCCTTGCTTGTGAGGCCATTTTGACACCAATGAAGCTTTTAGCAATTATTTAAAATGCATCTGATCACTCTACACAATAATCTAGAAACAATGTGAATGAACACCACAACAGCTTATGCAGCAAACTTTGCAAACCACAAAATTTATGTCACTGCCAAAACTTTTGGCCATGACTGTACATTTAAGCATCACAACTGGGCTGCACTATTTGGGGAAAGAATCTAATTGCGATTTTTCCTGATATTGCGATTCCAAATAAAAGTTCCAGATTTGCTGAGCTTGATTGGACTGTATAATAATTTTATTCCACACTGCAACTAATTGCAATATTAATATTTGTCTTCATTTATATCGCAATTTATATCTTAATTTCTTAATTTTCAAGCATTAAACCATGACTTCACCAACACCTCCAACACCTGAGCACAGATTCCATTTTCATTAGTATGTCCTTGTTTAACAGTTCTATCTGATACTTGAAATCTGATAACTGAAAGGCAATTATTATTAAAGTGTCACCATTCAGAAAATATGCATTAATATAATTCAAGTTAGCAACAATTCGTATTTCAGAAGATTTAGCAGCTGGATTTGCTGTTAGTTGAGTCATTGTATGGTACACTGGTAATATTATTGCTCTCAGTCACAAACCCTTTCAATCTGTCTTTTGCCTGCAACAAATACACAATCAGTTTAAAAAGAAAGCGGTGTCAGTGTGAAGTCACTTACAAGCCACAATGTGCCACAGCTGAGAAATAACATGGCAGAGAGTCTGAATCATGTCTCCCATAATTCTTTTGTGCACTTCAAAACGTGAGCAGAGAAAATAATGCTGCAGGCTTTTCCCGTAATGCTATTCATTTAGTCACTTGGGTGGCTTTCTTTGCAAACTATGGAACACCAGGGTCTCATCTAGTTTTGACTTCTCAAATATTCAATCAGCCTTATCTATAGCCTAATTAAATAACAGGTTCTTCTAAAATACCCCTGGAGACTATGGGAGCATGGAGGAATTATTCCTAAAAGCACAAAAGCTGCTGATAAATGCACTCATCAGCCCAAAACAGAAATGCCCAGCACACTGAACCAAACAGCTGGCCAACATCGAACAAATAAAGAAAGGAAACAGCCTTCAGCAGACAGCCTGATACAGAAGAATAAACTTCGCTTGTCTGAAGCATTAAAGATGTCAATTAATTCATTATGAATTCATCAGTAACTGAAGCCATTTTATTAGCGCTTTTGTGGTACCAGGCATCCCATTTTTACTGTGCAGCATAAGCAGATAGAAATGTACTATTAAGGATGTGAAATTAGAGTGGCATGTCATTACATTAATGATTCAATACTAATCCACTTTAACAATAACAAGTGATCACACTGAGCACATAATGAGTATTGGTAAAGACTAGCTGAGTCTGAAGTGAAATTTTGGTTTCAATGTAAAGTAATTGAGAAACTACAAATTAGGTACAATTTTCTCACCTTACTGAATAGAAGAAACAGGAATCAGAGCTGACGTCCCTGAATGAACAGAGGTTGAATCATTTTTGTTGGGTAAAATGTGGCAATGAAATGCCGGATATAGCCTTGATATAAAGATGGAAATATGTGGTGCATTTTTATTGTGGAAAAAAATACCCAGCATGCCAGTTTATCAGTAAGTGTCAAGTCAAGAGCTTTGAATAGAGCCAGATTTGAATTCTTTGGCATGGCAAACATCACAGAAATAGATTATGCTTGCCATGACTGTATGAAAGCCTGTTTTAGCCTCAGTGTAAAAAATGCAACAGGTAATTGTGAGATAAAGTAAAGTTACACTGTGAGATATAAAGTCCAATTATGAGTTAAAGTACAATTGTGAGATATAGTTGCAATTACATAAAGAAAGTTGTGATAAGCTATAATAAAAATTGTGAGAAGTAGTTCCAATATGAGATATAGTTGCAATTATGTGAAAGTCACATTGTAAAATATGAAGTCGCATTTACAAGAAATAAAGGCAAAATTGTGAAATACAGTCCCACTGTGAGATATAGTTGCAAATCACTGTAAAAGTCGCAATAAGATAAAATACATTGGATATAAAATTACATTGTAAAGTATGATGTCACATTTACAAGAAATAAAGGCAAAATTGTGAATTATAGTCACACTGTGAGATATTAAGTCCCACTGTTATATATAGTTGCAATTATGTGGGAAAAAAAAAGAGCTCTTAAGTCACATTGTGAGATATAAAATGGAGTAAGAATCCAAAAAAAGGGGTTTAATGGAAATAAATTAAGTAACTATTTTTGGTCCATGATTAATAATAATGTTTCATATTAAAGAAATGCATTTCTAACCCTATCCATAAGCTTAAACTTAACTTGAACTTTTCCCTAGCCTTAAAAGCTGATCAGATAATATGAATATTGTTCATATTAGAACCAAGAAGGGTGTTGATCCAGACACAG